TCAAGGATCAACCTTAAGCGTATATCTTTTTGCTTTAGTCATGAATGTTCTCATTAGACATTTGCAAGAGGTTGTATCCTGGTTTATGCTTTTTGCTGATGATATTCTTCTTGTTGATAAAACTTGAGAGGGAGTTGAAGGTAAACTTGAATTATGGAGGTCAACCTTGGAGTAAAGGCTTTCGTTTGAGTATATTTAAAACTGAATATATGGAGTATAATTTTATTAATAATAGACCAAGACCCGATCCCGATCTGAGAGAGAGAGAGAGAGAGAGAGAGAGAGAGAGAGAGAGAGCTCCTTACCTCTTCTCCAAGCCGAATCCTTCAGGTCTCCTCTCCAAACCCCTTTCTCCCCCATTGCTGTTCAGCTTTGATCCATCTCCGACGTTCCCTTCTTGTCGGGTTTGGAAGTTACGACATTCTGAGCGGAAGTAACCACGGGAGCTTGCTGTGAAGGTAGCTATCTCCCTTTCACGCGCGGCTCTGGCCAAATCCCGTAAATTCCCCAAACCGAGAAGGAGATAACGCCAATTATAATTAATTTTGAAAGAGAAAGAGAAATGCTTCTCTCCCTTCCCTCAATCTACGCGCCAAGGACCTCGCGCAGGTATAAAATTCCTAAACCCTAGAACTTTGAAAAACCCATTTCCGGTGCTTGCAACGCGGCGAACAACCACCTATGCACGCTTTTCTCTAGCGTGGTTGGAGGGAATTCGTTGCGGTGCTTGCAACGGGACGAGTAATCAAAACCCCATTTTCGGCGTTAGTGTCGGACCGGAAAACTAACTCATGCACGCTTTTCTCTAGCGTGGTGGGAAGGGAACCCAGTGCGACGCCTACGGCGAGGTAGGGTCAAATATAAAATTTCTTATTTTAAACTGGTGCCCGCAACCCATGCACGCTTTTCTCTGTCGTGGTGGGGAATAAAAATATTACGGCCGTGGTGTCCTCGTCCGAGGGCACCTACCGTGCACGCTTTTCTCTAGCGTGGCGGGAGGCCCAATTTTCCGTAGTTTTCCCCTAAACGGGGGAGACGTCGGAAGGCTGCCGAAATTTCGGGTAAACGCAAGATCGTACTTGGAACATTTGGAGCTTTACTTAGACATTATTTGGACTTTGTTTGGACTATAAAATGAACTAAATCTTAATGAACAAAATGCTTAAGTCAATCTTGAATGGTCACTAAACTTGAACTTACAAATGAACTACAATGAAGACTTGAGTTAGAATATGATCTTGAACTCAAGAAACTACAAAGGACTTGATAATTTGAGCAAGGACATAGAACTTGTACTCGAACAAGAACAAAAGACTTATGAACAAGGATGAAACTTGAATGAACATGAACTTGGACTCTCATTTGAACTTGCAACAAATGACTTAATTTGAACTTAAACTTGAACATGAGCTTGGGCTTGAACTCAAGCAAGAACTTGATTGAACTCAGAGGACTTGTGGACATACATTTGAACTTGAATTTGAACAAGGAACTCACATTTGAACCTAAATGAAAAATACAAAAGAACACACTATAATTTGAGCCTCGTTTGATCATGATTTGAACAATCATGAGAACTTGTAACTTGACCAAGGAAGACTTGAATCAAGTCTGGTTAAGAAGGACTGAACTTGAACCAAATGACATAGAACCTAACTTGATCTTGGCTCTAATTGAATGCAATCAAATAAACTGTGATAAATAAATTTTTGCATACCATTTGCTTATAAGCAATAGTGCAAAGGCAATGTGAAATTTGTAAGTGAACAAGCCTTCAACATAGACTTGTGAAAAGAGCACGAAGGCACCAATGAAGAAGAACCCTTCCAAGGATATATCCATTTGAAATGGTTCTTAATGAAAGTAATAAGACTTCCTACAAATTTACATGAAGAATAACATGAAGTTTTCCGCAGTGTTTAAAGCATTTAGTGCACTCAAACAAATATTGACGAACAAATGAACTTGTGATACAACTTGCTTGCAAGCAAAGACTAAATGGAAGAAACAACTAACAATCATTCATGATATTTGTATCAATCATATGGGAGAAATAGTGATCCAATATCACAGCACACTGAGAGAAGCCACGAAGAATATGATTGGTATTGGTTAGCTTGTAGCTAATGATGGCTAGTTCATGACTAATGAAAACTAGTATGATGACAAGTTCAATGACCTGCTCGTAGTTAGTGATGATAGATGCATGCAATGAAAATGATCATTCCCCAATATTGATGTAGCAATCTATCTACAGATAAAGGCAAAAGATACATAGCAAATACAAATATCTATGACCCCTTACAGCAGATCCGCTATATGTATCATATGTCATTTGTGGACAAATACGAAAGAGACTATAACAAACAAACACAAGCTTCAAATGCAAGCACCTACGATCGGAGGCTGGAGATTAGTTAGTGCACTATGATCCACCTGCAAAAAACAACGAATAGTGCACGACAGTCTACATGTACAAAGCAGTAAACAACTCAATCCAGAAGCTGCTACGCCACGCCACCGAATCCGCAATTTCTTTGCAAGCGGACAGAAGACGTCTACAAATACTTTCAAAGTACCCCCGCACGTACACATTAGTTTGTATACACATAGGTACACTAAAAGGGGTAAAAGCAATCACAAAACCCGCATGGGCCCCGGCGAGCGTGTTATAGAAATACACGTGACATTTAGGGATGCTGCGCGGGTTATCAAATTTTGAAACCGATCCTCCTAAGAAGATAAAAGGAGTGGACATGGTTCAATTATAAAATACCCCCAAACACTCGCATGGGCCCCGGCGAGCGTGTTATTGATACGTCACAGGGATGCTGCGCGGGTTGGCAAGTGAATTCAGATTCGAAACCGATCCTTCTATACGGGTCAATAGAAGTTGACAGGGTTCGAACCAACAAACAAATATACGGTTGTGGCGACCGTCATATTTGTCTTAATACATTCATATTAGGCCTTCAAGGCCTATAATAATGAGAATTCACTATCAAGGGCATAAAGCCTACGAAACCCGATCTTCTATCAATTGCTTGGTCGAGTTGATAGGGTTCAATCAACAAAAGAGAAATGACCCAAACACCCCGATGATGGCCGTGTTGAATGCAAATCTCAACCGGAGGGGTCCATTCCAAATATTTTTCAAATGCCATTCCAAAAATCCAAAAATCCAAAAAAAATTTTAAAAACCTAAAATCCCAAAAATATCTAAAAATTGAAATCCAACTATCGAACACTTAAAGAAAAATCCATCCACCCTCTGCAACAGTTTGATGGGGTGGACAAATTAAAATTTACTTCAGCTCACATAGAGCCAAATGCCTAGTCGAAAATATCACTAGGATCCATTCTCAAACAATCTATTGCCAGTAAGGACGTGGTACGTGTCCTCTAAAAAAACCGCCAGTTTCGCCCGCCCAAAATGGCACTGCAGGTAAACGGTTATGACCCGCGGGCCCTTCTGAACGAGTGGTTTTGCCGCCAAATGAGCATCACAGATAGCAGTTATGACCAGAGCAATACGGCTCCTTAATGACGTTAAAATCCTTGAGATATGAATCAATAGGATATGATCGATTAGGCACAAAAGCCCTCGTGTTTAGCTAAGGATGGATCAAATTTGCCCCTTAGACAAACATTTAACCCGGTCTACAAGGTACCCTTTGGACGAAGCAACCCAGGTGTTGCCGACAGGATCCTTCTGTCGGGTTTGGGTCGACTACCTCCTCGACAAGTAGACCAGGGACCACGATGGCCCGGGACGACGGAGAACCATGGGATCTTGATCGGGTCTATCATCCATTCCCCCACCATCCGCTTAAGTGCTAGGTGGTGAAATTTCATATTTTAAATATCAAACTTTTCAATACTTTCATTTTCTCAAAATCCAAATCCAGTTTCCAATCTCAAACCCATTGCTTGCTACTATATGCCAGATACACGTATATTCTCCGTATCTGATTGACGACTAGCCTTAATCGAAAGTTCTCTCTCGTGATCGGGAGGGGTATTAACTATAGGGGCTTGCGCCTATAGGAAACCAGAAACTCAGATCATAAAGTCCTCGCAAAATGAGGGCGAAATCTCTGGGTAGTGTCTTATCTACAGACCCATCTGCCTTCCAAAATTTACCTCGGAACTTATTCAGTTAAAACTCCATCGCCGAATAAAAAGTAAAAGCGAGCGGAGGCCGGGGCCGAATTTTCGGAGCCCACACTTTATCAAATAAAAAATGAGAATTTGTCTCTTAACATGACACAACGAAGAACAAAGATTCATGTTGCCGACCCCACATAGTGGGATAAAGACTTGATGTTGTCATTGTTGCTGTTGTAGAATTGTTTCATGCATTGTTATTTTTAATAAGGACTTATTTTGTGTTAAACTAGTCATTGCCTGATTTGCTTGTAACTCTTTATAAATAAGTGCCCTTTGGCCTTAGGTCTACAATCATTGAGTGAGTATTGAATAAAGATTTTGGGATTTTTTCTCATAGTCGTCGGCTAATCTCGCACCTCTTTCTCTCTCTTTCTCTCTCTCTCTATCTCTCCCTTCTCTTCCCTTTCTCTCTAATACATTGTTCCACCATTAAGCATAAAAAATTTGATGTACTAATAGGTTGAATATTGGTGTAAGATTGATAGGAAAAATATTGCTATCCTATGACAGGATTGGAAGCTCACCATGCTTCTCTCTCTCTCTCTCTCTCTCTCTCTTCCTTTTTTTCTGTCTCTCGCTCTATGGACACACTAGAGTCGTAACTTGAGTTTTCCCCTTACAAGGAGGAAGCAGGTGGCTAATGAGAAAAAGGAAATGTTGATCAGAAAGTCCAATGTATCACTGCATTGTTCGTTCAATAACTAATTCTCCCTTTGGCACATTTTTGTCCTGTTCATTCAATGGCCATTATATGTTTGTTACAATTGTCCTTAAATCATTTAAGGATCATTTTTTCCTTCATGTTATAATTACTGTATTTAATCTAATAGGTATATGGGGCCTTGAGAATGTCGGTAAAGATGTTCTTAATGTGGAATTCAAAACTATTTATAAATGGAGGTGGGGACGCACTAGTTGCAACATCTTTATTGGAGGCTAGCAATTTAATTGTTTTGAGGGTATCTCTCGTATTCTCATTTTGTCAATTTTCCTTTTATTGCTGCTTAAGTGCTTGCTTATAATATGGTTGTTTTATTTCAGGAAAATTCTGTGATGCATTCCAATGCTAATCTTGGAGTTCATGGACAAGGCCTTCTAAATTTGTCTGGAACAGGAGATACTATTGAAGCACAACGGCTTGTCCTTTCTCTCTTTTATAGCATCAATGTGAGTGGCGAGTATTTTGCTTTCTCATTAAGTACCAAATGTTAATTTATTTTAATATTTTTTTCTGGTCTCAAGCATCATTTATTCTGTAGATTAATATTGTCTTCTATGAACATAACCTCTTTTTGACTGATGTATCTTGAAACTTGCTGTCCATGTTTTTTAATTTTATCTGATAGATGCTAATATTTGTCTATAGGTTTGATCGAAATCCATGCTCAATTCAATGAGCTGTTCTGCATTTGCTAATAATAAAAAGTTTTATTAATGCACAGTATTTTAATCTGTTAATGTTCTCAATATGTGGAACATAATTATATAAGCCATTTGATATAATGAAAGAGTTTTTTCTTAAAAAAACATATCTATTTTGGCTTAACTCCATTTTGTGTACTTGAATTTGTCATCAACTAGTATTTGTATGTCAACAAGTGGGACAATGATGGACGTTCTACGTTTCGGCAGCATTGAGGTCCTTATTTTCTCCCCTGCATGCCATTTGCGAAATGCATTTGCAGAAGAGTTTGTAATACATTATCCAGGAGGCTTGCATGAGAAGAACTTATACAAATGATCCAGAATTGTCATTCAGAAGACCTTTGGAACCTGTAAGAGATATTTTGCACAAAGGATTTAGATTTTCCATGGAATGTTCTGAGCGATAATCATGTTTTCCCCTCATTTTTGGAGCTAACCTGTGAGTATTTTCATTGCTTTCATCAAACTAAAGAGAGGACATGATTCTATATCTCCTGCGGCTGTAGATGCCAAATTGTTAGACTGGGATGTAGGTGGTTGCTCACTACTGTTGGATTAGAGAATAGAGAGATGATTAGAGAAGAGGAAATTTGGGAGATGACTAATCATCTATCAAATAAATTTTGGTTTTAGATTACGAACTTGGTCTTTTTTATATGGGTCAAAGAAATATTTATGGATCTATTCAAATTCAAACGAAATTAAAAGATAGGAAACATCTAGAAATCTATTTAAATTCAATAGAAAGTAAAAGCTGGACTAATCTCTTAAAAATTTTAACTTCTAGATTCCCTCTTATAAGGTGACTGACCTATGAGAGAATTCTTGTTACTTTCTTTTGGTCTCTAACTAATTTTTGAGAGAATTCATGTGTCTTTTGTTCTCTCTAACTAATTTTCTTTCTTATCTCCTTGTTGCCCCTCATTTAGAAATTTTAAATTTTAAATTTTGTAGTTAAGTCTCCATTCAATTCATCTATGTAAAACATTCTTGAGCACCTTTTGGATCACAGCTTCCCATTTTAGGTCATAAATCCTAAAGATTGGGTTATGTAAGGCTTATGGAAGAGGAAGGAAATTATAGAATCAATGCTTCATCTTGGATCATGGTACCCCTTTTAGGTCATAGGTCGTATTGATTGGGATATGTTATGGATTACGAAACTTGTAGGTAATTATAGAGTCAAGGCCTCAAGTGAGTAAGGCATTCTATGAAGGAATGGGAGGTTTTCTGAGATGGAGGGAGGACGGGAGGATTATGGAACTAGTAGGTAATTATTAGAGTTAAGGCCTCTAGGGTCAGGGTTCAATGAAGGAATATGAGTTTTTTTGATAGAGTGGGAGATCCTCTTGGATCACACAAGTTGGTTGTGTTTGAGTACAATAGTATTGAGATCTTAAGATGTTTGTTTTTTTTTTTCCTCATATTTCTTTTTTTTTTTCACACTAATATGTTGCGTGCTATGTAACTTGCACATTATTACTACTTTTTTCAAGGTTGTGAAAATATGAGGTTTAAAGTTTAAAAAGTTTAAAATTATATATGTATAAATATAAATATAATTTTTAATAAGAATAATAATACAATATTTATAATAATATATGAATTTTATAATATAAAAAATTTATGTTCCCAACTTTTATAAATTATACGCATTCTCAGCCTAAATTTGCAATCCAAGTTATTTCATAGTTTAACACTTTAATTGTCATCCAGAATCCTCACAGGTTTTTAGTCCCACATCATAGGAAAATTTAAAATGGTTCTCTTTATATAGGGTAAAGCACAAATTAAAAAAACAAATAAAGATGCACGTGGCAAGCTAACAACTAGTTAAATTTATTTGCACATTTGTCTTTATATATATATATATATATAAACCGGCCAGTTCAACCAAATCAGAACCGGTTTGATGGTTTTTTGGTTGAACCGGCGGTTCAAACTTGTTCGCACCCGTTCAATGAGATTCTGGTTTTCAAACTTTCCCGGATATGCAACTTGACTGGATCACGGTTAAACTGGTTGGTCCGGTTCGGTTTTAAAAACATGAACTTTTTTTCCTCTGGTTTTATCAACGGATAATTCAATAATTTCATATTTTTGTGCAAAGGTAAACCTGAAAGCCTTTACGTATGGGCATTCAATTTTAGGTTTTAGTCAAATGTCAGTTTCACTTACCATTAGCATCCTAAGATATTTGGATTAGTTTGCAAATTTCATTACTGCATAACTTCTTTGTTACTTTGTTTATACCGATGATATTGTCACTAATGCCATCTTGTCACTGACAATTCTGTCTGTGTAGTCTCCCGATTCAAAAAGCTTTTAAGCGTGAATTTTAGTTAGCCGTATATTTCTAGATGGATCCATAAATTTGTACTATTTATGATTTGAGGTTCACAATGGATTCTTGTACTTTTTAAGAAAATATCTACGGATCCTTGAGGTTTCACTGATCTTAAAAATTGTGTTATAATGAAGAACTATAGCTACGCCGTTTTATACTTCCTAAAAAGATTTACTTAACCAGTCCGTTAGTAATCCACCTGTTTCTTTGCTTCGACTACGTTCTCCTTGTGGCCAAAATGTATTTTCTTTTACCAAATATTTCATTTGCAGCTCCTCTCACTGCATTTATCCAAACATTGTTTTGATAGCTTGTGCTTTATTTGCACTTTCATTTGTTTGCCACATAATGTGGTGCTCGGTTATTTAATTTTCAGCTCAGTAATAATGCTTTTTTTTCTTTTCTTTTCTTTTCCAGTCTCTCTTCTTATTCCAATTTGTTTTTCCCAAATTTGAATGTAAGGTTCTTTGATTTTTTATTTCCTTTGAATCAACGTTCAAGTTTTAACGTTCTTGTTCCTTTTCTAGCTTGGACCGGGATCTGTTCTTCGTGGCCCTTTGGTGAACTCCTCAAGTGATGAAATGTATCCTATGTTATAATATTTCGTTGTTACCTTGTTCATTTTTTCAGTTGATGATCTATCTTATTCCCTCACATCAGGGCTCCGAGACGGAACTGTGAACCCGTGGATTGTCCTATGGAGCTGATTCATCCACCTGAAGATTGTAACATCAATTCTTCCCTGTCTTTCACTATTCAGGTAGTTTCTTCTCTCTATATTAGTAGGGTTTCAATTATATGACCTGCTTTTTGAAATGTACCATGGTTGCCCAGATATGTCGTGTTGAAGATATTGGAGTGGCAGGCCTTATACAAGGCACTGTTGTTCATTTTCATAGGGCAAGAACAGTTGTTGTTCATCCTTCTGGAACAATTAGTTCATCCGGCTTTGGTAACTAATAAAAATATTAACACTTCAATATTTTTTGGCTGTTGAACTTCTCATTCCCATCATAGAAGGATATACTTGAATGCTTGTTTTTTGAAAAAAATTGCAGGCTGCAAAGGTGGTGTTGGCAGAGGTATGGTTTTGAGTAGTGGTGTTGGTGGTGGTGGAGGGCATGGTGGTAAAGGTGGGGATGGTTTGGTTAGCGGCGATTTTGTACAAGGTGGTATTACATATGGGAATACTGCTTTGCCTTGTGAACTTGGCAGTGGCAGTGGCAATGACAGCATGCCTGGTTCAACAGCTGGAGGGGGTATTATTGGTGAGCTTACTTTTTTTTTGCAGCCTTTAAATTTTCCTTATATCATTAACTAATTTGTTGCTGTTGAAAGACCCTCAAAGTTATGTTTTTAATTGTTTTGACATTTGATTAGGTATTTAATGGAGTTATTGTGTTTGCCCTGTTTTTTGCAGTGTTTTTTCAGGTTTTATTTGACTTGGTTGTTTTTTGAGAATTATTATGTTTACTGCAGTTGAGTTTTTTTTTTTTAAAGAATGCACTACAAGATTTACATGAGGTTTAGTTAGAGTACCTAAGCAGTCTATTCGACTTCAAATTTTGGTGAACTCCACGACTGTTAAGGTGGAGTTTGATCTTGAAGAAATCAGCCCGCCAGTTAAAATCTGTTGTCTATTCAGCACTATCTATAAGCAAGCGAGCCAGCTAGTATGGCCAAAGGATGAGGATAGTGACAAGAACTTGCCGAGGCCCATCCCAAAATTATTTACACAGTGAAGTTCTATACTGTCCTGCTTGTAGATGAGAGTGTTGGCTATCTACCAGCTTCCAAAGATTTTTACGAACCCAATTACCTCATCTCATCTCATGCACTCTGAAATACTATCAGCACAAGAAATAGAGGTGATTATTGTGCCTGAGGCTCTTACCAATGCAGGGTTTGAAGAGAGGCTGATGAATGAAGTTTAATATATTCATTTTAGATTAGTTGTTTGCTTGATTCAATCCCATGATTTTTATGTTAAAGTGGTAGTGCAAGGAAGAAAGGGTGTGTTCCTTGTGCATGAGGCTTGCACCAATGAGGCTTGCACCAATGCAAGATTTGTGTAGTGGTTCGCATTTTATAGTTGCGTTGTAAATTGGTAACTTTTGTGAGTCAAACCTATGATAAGGTCAAAAGCGGCAATTTAGCAATTGTTTCATCCTATATCAACAAAATTAAATGTTAGATGATTAGAAATGAAATAGGATGCATTTTCCTCTCTTGATTCAATGAAATTGTGAAAATCGAAAGAACTTTACTTTTTCAACCAGGCAAGTTGGTTGATGATGGACGACATATTATTTAACTATTTCCTTTCTTGGTAAGGCCATGCTATGAAGAATTTTTTGCAATACAACCCAAGGAATGGAAAAAGGAAAGGAACAACACGCTTGAACAAAGGCTTGGACAAATTTCCATGCAAGACTTAAATGAAGTTTTTTGGACAATAAAAAGTCAGTTGTGGACTAATGTTGCAAATGTGGTAAAATGACAAATGATTGTATTAAAGAGATAGTGGAAGTAACAAATATTCAATTTAAGATAATAGAAAAGATTTGGGTTTCATTTGGTACAAATGTGTTGCTATTGTGAGGTTGTTTTGTTGAATGAAATTAAATCACCAACTTGCATAGTTGGATGTGTTTTTCCATTAGTTGTCGTTGCTTGCGAAGTTAGAGAGTGCAGGGGTGAAATGGGGATTATCATAACACATTCTCATAAAAATCAAAACAACCACTTCTAAAGCAAATTAGGAGAAAGTTGTATAGAATGAAACCTTAGGTGGAAGATTTGTAATATACAAACTGATTGTGTAGAAGATTTGTAAAAAGATTTATGCAAAATTTAGTTAATCCCTTGTGTGTACTTAAGGGGAATTAATGGAGGATGAGTATTCATAAATTCTGCATTCCCAAAGAATTGGGGTAAGGCTAATGACAGATTAGTATTTACAACATATATATTAACACACCATGCATTCATGTGATTTTTAAAAAATTCGATTTCATATTATTAAGATGGATAGAAGTTATGTAAAATCCTTAGGTAACATGGAATTAACATTCTTTTATGCTATAACTAATAATTGCAAAGGGAATTTATAAAACAAACTATTCAACAAAAAAAAAGTGAAAAAAAGATGATATGCATGCTCCAGCATCTTTAACCACCACATCTATTTTATGTCCTTTCGTAGGGAAACATACTTTGTTCTTTTGCAAAACTGAAATATTCACTTGATTGCATTATATGTAAATCTACAACGGATTGGGTGTAAACTAGGGTTACCCCTTGGTTTCCTCTTGCTTTTGTTATTTTTAATATTATGTTGGTCATACCTTCTATCTACAACTCTACTCTTGATGGTGTTAACATTGCTTCTCATTTATTATCTGTTTTTGCAGTGATGGGTTCCTTGGAACATTCTCTGTCCAGTTTGTCCGTTCACGGTTTTATAATGGCAGATGGAGAAAGTGCCTCTAATATTTCAAATTCCGGACCTGGTGGTGGATCTGGGGGTACAATTCTTATATTCTTGCATAATCTCATGCTTAATGAAGGATCTTTCATTTCAACTAGTGGTGGTGTTGGTGGTTCAAACAGTGGAGGTGGAGGTGGCGGCCGGGTTCACCTCCATTGGTCTAACATTCCCACAGGAGACGAGTATTTCCCCATCGCCAGCATAGGGGGAACTATATCTGCAAGGTCTGTTATTAAATTAATTTTCCCATCTTATTTTTTTTTTTTCCTTTCAGTTGATGGCCTTGAAGTAGTTTTGCATACAATCCAAATTTCTAAATTTTTAGTGATTTGGTCAAATGCTCCATTAATTCACACTTACAGGCAAAACCTCTCTTTCTTGGCCTTGTTTATAAAATGTTGATTAGACTTAAAAGTTGAACTAAAAAAGTATTGAAGCTCTTCAATTTTAGAGATTAATGAATGATTAATAATCAATTTTGTTTTAATTGTCAATTCACATTATACAAATTTGAGACGTTCTTTTGCATTATTCTACATTTACATTTTCTAGTTGTTCTAAGGTGGCAATATATTGAATGTGGGACTTTTTTAGTTATCTCGTTTATTTATTGTTGATTATTGCATATAATATTTATTTAATATTTTAAATTGCCTTATGTGGGTTATTATGTGATATGGGATGTCATAAGGTTTACTAATATTGTTGAAAAATGTTGGTCATGCATGCTACAATTTTCTTATTCCAATGGGTAGAAAGGGTGTGAAATTTAGAGTAGATTACAAAACTAACCTAAAATCAAAGACAAGTATTAATGAAAATAGGCAATAACTGGACACGTAAAGGGAAAACAAGACAGAAATTAGTCCATTCATTTGCAATGAAGTATGGAACGAATAGAGGAAGTAGGTTCAATTCCCATTAGGCCAGAAGGGCTGGCGTATAGCAGCTTAAGGAAGGAGCAGTGTACCAACCAACAGGGGTGAGGGAGGGATGGCGGACTAGTTGGTGGCCTGCTGGCTAACGGATTTTCTGGGCTGTTGGTAAGGCTGCAGCTGGGAAGCAAGAGCAGTTGATTATATGCTTGGAAGTGTCACGAAAATAGGTGAAGTGATTCTTGGAATTATAGACTATTGCTTGTAATTTCCACAACTATTCTCTGAATTTATGAAACGTTGGCTGCAGCTTTTAATCCTTCCCCTCAAGCTGCGAATACATGTTGATCATTCCTAGCTTGAAAGTAAGGTTATCAAATTGTAATTGATTGAGAACTTTATCAAGGATATAAGAAGTTTGTTTTCAATTTGGATAATTCCTTGTTCAATTTTCTTCTTAAAGCAATCTCAATGTGTTTAGTCATGTCATGGTGTATAAGTTTCTTAGCATTGTCTTAGCCAACCATTAAAAAAGCGGACGAGGCGTCCGAATTGAGTCGCGCCTCAAGTCGAGGCGGAAGTCATGCATATCGGGGCTTACGCCTCGAACCATCCAGCGAAGCCTACGATTTTTTGCACAAGGCGTTGCATCAGAGCATAACTCCTCGAGACAGTACGAGGCACTGCCTTGAAATTTTTTCTTTTGTATATATGTAAATACGACGCAGTCGATTCGTGTTCTCGTATTTGCGTATAGGATTAGGGATTCCTGTGAGAATTGAAAGGCAAACTGGAGGCGAAGCAGTGAGGGAAGGAGACGAAGCCGTGAGTGCAGGAGATGAAGTCGGAAGGAGACGACGCAGGAAACGAAGCCGAAAGCAATAACAGTTTCGAAAGCAGGAAATGAAGTCGAAGTTGTGAGTGCAGGAAACATTCGGCCTCGGTTAGGTTGGAAGAGCAGCTGAGCGATGTTGTGGGCCTTGATTTTGACGTGCAGTAACGAAAGCTTGAATAACTTCTGATTCGACTTTCTTTCATTTGTCCGCTAAGTACATGCTCGGTACCGAGCAGGTACATGCTCGATATCGCTCCGTTCATGCTCGGTACCCCTCCGTTCATGCTCGGTATCGCTCAGTATATGATCGGTACCGCTAGGTACATGCTCGGTACCGAGCCAGTACCGCTTGGTACCGAGCCAGTACCGCTTAGTACCGAGCCAGCATATGCACGGTATTGAGCGGTACATGCTCGGTACCACTAGGTACATGCTCGGTATTGCTCAGTATTGAGCATATACAACAAGTAGAATTTCAAAATTACTCTTATAATAAAATTTTGTTGCCTTATTATTGGTAGTACAAATAATTATTAAAATCTGTCATATTTGATGTTTATTATTTATTTTTTATAAATTATTAGAATGACTAGTGGCACAAGTAAAGATCCTGCATGGAAATATAGAACTCAAGTTGAAGTGTCAGACGAAGGTGCAAAGAAGGGATATGTTTATATGAAATGTAATTTCTGTGAGAAACGTATAACTGGTGGCGTCAAGAGGTTGAAGGTCATCTAGCCTGCACTCATGTCAATGTGGGACCATGTGCAAAAGTACCTGATGAGGTGAAAAAGGAATGTACATATTATTTAAAGAAATTTGCCACTACAAAGGAGATCACACAAAGAAATATGGAAGAGATGATAAGAAACTCTTCTTACTATGGATCACAGCATGAAGATTCAAGTAGTGGAAGCCATCTAGTTTATTTTAACAGAGGCACTCGGGGTCCTATGGATTGATTTATGATAAATGGGTTACTCATAAGAATGCTGATGTTTCTGAAGTTGAAGCAGAAGGAGAAACTCATGTCAACGAAGAATACAATGAAGCAACTACCCAAGTATATAAAAGAAAGAAACAAAGTGAGATTGGAGCTTCAAAAAAATTCAAAGGTATTCTTAAATATAATAAATTATTTTGTATGTTACTATTATTTCATTTTAGAGCTAATGAAATATTAACTGATATAGGAGATAAATGAAAAAATATTATAGATGAAGAAGAGTTTGAGGATGACTTTGACATTAATTATGAAGATTTTTCTGAAGACAATCAAAGTGATGAATAGCCTGGTTTGGGTCTTGATCCTAAGGGGATGTTTTATTTTTAAGTGAGTTTATTTTAAATCTTGTATTCCAGTAATATTATCTTAAAATCAATCTTCAAATTCATAGTTGACATAATATCTTGTTATTTTTTGTCATTATTTATAATTTTAAATTAATTTATTTTAATCGTTTTGAGGCTTACGCCTTAATCCGCCTCGAGGCTTACGCCTCGCCTCGCTTAGAAAAAATACCTCGATTCCCGATTTCGCCTTTTAAAACCTTGGTCTCAGCACATTATCATTGGTTGTTATAGAAACTTTTGAGTACTCAAGAAGTCGTTTATGCTACATATATTCCCCAAATTTTATTGGTCATGTCCCCGAATTATGTTTCAGCACTACTCCAAGCAACAACAATTTGTTTTTACGTGGGACAAATTTTAAATTGATATTTTAATAATTTATGTAAGTAAAATAAAAATAAAAATAATTTAAAACAAGGTATAGTCGCTGGCTTACTGGAGCAGCCTAATGGAGTTGTCTGGCCCACTCACTGGACATGCTAGTGATTTTTTTTCCCAATATTTTATTCCATTTAATAAAATATAATTTTATAAATTTTTGAATAATTAGGGTTTAATCTTTGTAAGAGACATTATGTATATAATTTGTTATGAAAAGTTAATAAACGTTATATTTAATTTTAGAAAATATAACAATATGGAGAACTAATTAGGGTTTAATCTTCTAACCTAGTGGCTTGGTCCAACGACTCCACTGTATTACGGTTAAGGTCACAGCCTGCATGTTCCCTAATTTCTTCAAATCCTTGAGATATGAGTCAATAGGATATAATTGATGGGGCACAAAGGTGGATTCAAATTTGTTAGATAAATATTCACCCCAGGTCTACAAGGTTCCCTTGGACAACGCAACCCATGGCTGCCGAGAAGGATCCTTCTGTTAGGTTGGGTTGACTAGCTCCTCTGCTAAGTATACCAGGGACCATGATGATCTGGGACGACGGAGCAATGAGATCTTGATCGGGTCCATTATCACTCCCCTCATCATCCGCTTTAAGTGCAAGGTGGTGCATCTCTAGTTTTAAATATCAAATTTTTAAATACCCAAACCCATGCTGTTACTATACACTAAATACCATGTATTCTCTACGTATCTGTTTTGACGAATAGCCTTAATCGAAAGTTCTCTCTTGCTATCGGTAGGGGTAATTAACTATAGGGGCCTGCGCCTATAGTAAACCTGAACTCAGATCTAAAGTCCTCGCAAAATGAGGGTGAAATATCTGGGTAGTGACTTATCTACAAACTCAATCTGCCTTCTAAAAATTTACCTCAGAAATTAATTCGTGAAAACTCTCCTGAAAGCGGTGGAAGCCGGGGCGCAAATTTTTGGAGCCCACAACATCAAGCTAATTAGCCTTCGTTACTTGAAAAGAAAGTCAAAACAACCAAACTCATTTATAGTCCTCATAAAGAAATGGCACAGTGGAAAGAGCATTGAAAGAATCACATATGGAAGTAAATCAGAACTCATATGTTGGAAACCTTGATGACAAATTTTTATAACTGCAGTTTTCCATGTATTTAATGTTGGTATGCCAGCCCTTTGTATGTTTGTTATCCACTAGCCTTCAGAAGGAAAGGGGCCTGGCAGGTGTGTGTTGCCATGCTGTCCACAAATGGAAAGGAGCACCTTGATTGCTGTTGCTCTAATGTTTGCCATGTACTTTTGGGAAAAACTAATTACACAATTTGATGTGGTATTCCACGGAAGAAGCATGTTCACACAAGTAAAACACCAAGAAGGCAAGAAATCGGTAATGGCGATGGCCAAAAACTGTATATCATCAACTACTTTGCTCTTCTTCTCCAAGAGAAGAAATACAGGAAAAGCCATTGCTAAAAATGGCAGCAAACCAAAATGCCAGCACATGGCAGCAAAACAGATGCCAAACTAAGTAAAAAGGAAGAGAGTGGAGCAGCCACTCTAACGGTTTCTAATAGTTAGACAAAAGTAAAATACTTAATTTAAATAAAGCCACTAATTAATAACTAAAGCAAAGTAACGGTCTAAGGATATGGCTTGATGCACCGCATCATTCTCCCCCATCAACAGAAGAGTCTGAATCGGATGAAGAAAGACTCGTAATGGCCATATCGGGCGGATGATATGCCGCAAGATCTCTGATATTGAAGGTGGACGTCGTGTTGTAGTGTTTAG